TTCACCTAAGAGTTTTGAAGGAACTCAAATATGAAATTGCAGAACTACTAACTGTGGTATGTAACCTATCACTTAAAATTAGCCTCTGTACCAGATGACTGGAAAGCTAACGTAATGCCGATTTTTAAAAAAGGCTCCAGAGGCTATCCTGGCAATTACAGGCCGCTAAACCTAAGGATGATCCAGTGGCTATAGTGTACTTGGACTTTCAGACAGCCTTTGACAAACTCCTTCATCAAAGGCTCTAAGCAAAGTAAGGAGTCAGGGGATAAAAGGGAAGGTCCTCTCATGGATCAGTAATTGGTTAAGAAGATAGCAAACAAAGAATAGGAATTATGGCTGTCGATTAATCGCAGTTACTTCACGCGATTAACTCAAAAAAATTAATCGTGATTACAAAATTAATTGCGATTAATCGCAGTTTTAATTGCACTATTAAACAATAGAATACCAATTGAAATTTAATAAATATTTTTGGATGTTTTACTACATTTTCAAATACATTGATTTCAATTACATCACAGAATACAAAGTGTACACTGCTCACTTTATATTATTTTGGATTATAAATATTTGCATTGTAAAAATGGTAAAAAACTATTTTTCAATTCACCTCATACAAGTACTGTAGTGCAATCTCTTTATCATGAAAGTGCAACTTACAAATGTAGATTTTTTTTTTGTTACATAACTGCACTCAACAACAAAACAATGCAAAACTTTAGAGCCTACAAGCCCTACTTCTCGTTCAGCCAATCGCTAAGACAAACAAGTTTGTTTACATTTACGGATGATAATGCTGCCCACTTCTTATTTAAAATGTGACCAGAAAATAAGAACAGGCACTCGCATGGGACTTTTGTAGCCAGCATTGTAAGGTATTTACGTGCTCAATATGCTAAACATTCATATGCTCCTTCATGCTTCGGCCACCATTCCAGTTGACATGCTTCCATGCTGACGATGCACGCTAAAAAAAGAATGCGTTAATTAAATTTGTGACTGAACTCCTTGGGGGAGAATTGTATGTCTCTGGCTCTATTTTACCCGCATTCTGCCATATATTTCATGTTATAGTAGTCTCAGAGAATGACTCAGCACATATTGTTCATTTTAAGAACACTTTCACTTCAGATTTCACAAAACACAAAGAAGGTACCAAAGGGAGATTTCTAAAGATAGCTACAGCACTCGACCTAAGGTTTAAGAATCTGAAGTGCCTTTCAAAATGTGAGAGGGATAAGGTGTAAAACATGCTTTTAGAAGTCTTAAAAGAGCAACACTCCAATGCGGAAACTACAGAACCCGAGCCACCAAAAAAGAAAATTAACTTTGTGCTGGTAGCATCTGACTCAGATAATGAAAATGAACATGTGTTGGTCTGCACTGCTTTGGATTCTTATCGAGCAGAACCGTCATCAGCATGGACGCATGTCCTCTGGAATGGTGGTTGAAGCAGGAAGGGACATATGAATCTTTAGCGCATCTGGCATGTACGTATCTTGCAACGCCGGCTACAGTAGTGCCATGCAACCACCTGTTCTCACATTCAGGCGATATTGTGAACAAGCGGGCAGCTTTATCTCCTGCAAATGTAAACAAACTTGTTTGTCTGAGCTATTGGCTGAACAAGAAACAGGACTGAGTGGACTTGTAGGCTCTAAAGTTTTACATTGTTTTATTTTTGACCGCAGGGTTTTTTTGTACATAATTCTCTGTTTGCAAGTTCAACTTTCATGATAAAGAGTTTGCACTACAGTACTTGTATTAGGTGACTTGAAAAATGCTATTTCTTTTGGTTTTTACAGTATATTTATTTTTTATTACAAATATTTGCAAAGTGAGCACTGTACACTTGTATTCTATGTTGTAATTGAAATCAATATATTTGAAAATGTAGAAAACATCCAAAAATATTTAAATAAATGGTATTCCATTACTCTTTTTAATCGCGTGATTACTCTTTTTAATCTGTTGACAGCCCTAGCAGGAATAAACGGTCAGTTTTCACAGCAGAGAGTGATAAATAGCGTGATCTCCCAAGGCTACATACTGGGACCAGTGCTGTTCTACATGTTCAAAAGTGATCTTGAAAAAGGGGTATACAGAGAGGTGGCAATGTTTGCAGATTATATACAATTATTCAAGATAATTAAGTCCAAAGGAGATTGCAAAGAGTTAAAGGGATTTCACAAAACTGGGTGACTGGGCAACAAAATGGCACATGAAATTCAATGTTGATAAATGCAAAGTAATGCATATTGGAAAACAAACAAACAATCTCAACTACACATACAAAATGATGGGGTCTGAATTCGCTGTTACCACTCAAGAAAGATCTTGAAGTCATTGTGGCTAGTTCTCTGAAAACATCTGCTCAAGATGCAGCAGCAGTCAAAAAAAAAGCTAACAATGTTAGGAACCATTAGAAAAGGGAAAGGTAATAGGACAATTAATATCATAATCATATAAATCTATGGTACGCCCACACTTTGAATACTACGTGTAGTTCTGGTCACCCCATCTCAAAACAGATATATTAAAATGGAAAAAGGTACAGGCAAGGGCAACAAAAATGATTAGGGGCATGAAACAGCTTCCATATGAGGAGATTAAAAAAAAAAATTAGGGCTGTTCAGCTAGGAAAAGAGATGACTAAGTGGGGCTATGAGGAAGGTCTATATGGTTTTCAACCTTTTTTTCTGGCGACCCAGTTGAAGATTGTTGATGCCCGCGACCCAACGGAGCTGGGGATGAGGGTTTTGGGGTGTGGGAGGGACTCAAGGCTGGGGTAGAGGGTTGAGGTGCGGGGGTGAGGGCTGCTGCGAGGTGGGGCCAGGGATGAGGGGTTTGGGCGTGCAGGAGTGGGGTCCAGGTTTGGGGACAGCTCAAGCCTGGGGCAGGGGATTAGGGCGTGGGCTGCTCTCGGTCTGTGGTGCAGCGGGGGTGCTAAGGCAGGCTTCCTGCCTGTCCTGGCACTGTGGATCGCGCTGTGCCCCAGAAGCAACCAGCAGCAGGTCCGGCTCCTAGGCAGAGGCTCTCGCCCACAGGCACCGCCTCCCCCAGCTCCCAGTGGCCGGGTTCCGGTCAATGGGAGTGCGGAGCCGGTGCTTGGGATGGGGGCAGCGCACGGTGTGCCATGGCCCTCCCGCCTAGGAGCCGGACCTGCTGCTGGCCGCTTCCAGGACGCACCGCCGTGTCAGAACAGGTAGGGACTAGTCTGTCTTAGCCGGGCAGCACTGCTCACAGGACTTTAAATTCATCAAGAATTATAACATTCAAAAACCAGTCAGAGAACACTTCAACTTCCCTGGACACTCAATTACAGACCTAAAAGTTGCAATTCTTCAACAAAAAAAACTTCAAAAACAGACTCCAACGAGAAACTGCAGAACTGGAATTAATTTGCAAACTGGACACCATTAAATTAGGCTTAAATAAAGACTGGGAGTGGATGGGTCATTACACAAACTAAAAACTATTTCCCCATGCTAATTTTCCCCCTACTGTTATTCTCACCTTCCTGTCAACTGTTTGAAATGGGCCATCCTGATTATCACTACAAAAGTTTTTTTTCTCCTGCTGATAATAGCCCACCTTAATTGAGTAGTCTCATTAGAGTTGGTATGGCAATCCCCATTTTTTCATGGTGTGTGTGTGTGTGTGTGTGTGTGTGTGTGTGTGTGTGTGTGTGTGTGTGTGTGTGTTCCTACTGTATTTTCCACTGCATGCATCTGATGAAGTGGGTTTTAGCCTACAAAAGCTTATGACCAAATAAATTTGTTAGTCTCAAGGTGCCACAAGTACTCCTTCTTTTTGCTGATACAGACTAACACAGCTACCACTCTGAAACCTATTAGAGATGAGTTTCTATACCTGAAAAAGTGACGATCAGGCAGGGCAACCTTCAAGCTTGCTAGTGGGTTCTGTAGTCTACTATTTACAGTCCCACATAGGTGTTGCAGCAATTTTGCAGTTCACCAGGAAGACCTCTTAATTTTGTTGTTGTTTGTAATTTTGTTCAACAGTTAAGTTTACTAAACCCAACTCCTATTTAGGCCCTAGCCCTGCACAGGCAAGTCATATTGACATCAGTGGGCAATGCAATGGTATTGGGAACTATCAGTGCTAATCCAGTTGCAGGAGTGCAGTCTTAGTTTGTATAAACACAGATTATCACTACTCTGTGACCAAGGACAATAAAAGGACACTGTCAACAAAGAGAAAAAAACCACCCTCCTATATGAAATATTTTCTCCTACAAATAATACCTATGATATAAACAAGAAAAAAAATAGTATTTTTTTATTTTACTCTGATAGCACTTTGTATAGTCAGTTTCAAGGTTTCTCCTGGATTACCAATTTGTCAATGGGATTGCGTTAGTCTTTCACAAACCACTTCACTTGTAACCCATGCACATTTGATATGGAATTTATTGAGAGGCCCCCAATTTTCAAAACAAAACTGCATGTTAAGTTTGGAACTTCATCTGGAGTCTCTTAGCTAGCAAATAAGAACATATTTAAAGACTGCAATTTCATTCTCAGGTACTCCCCAAATTTAAAAAGTCAAGAGTAACAAAAGTCATTTATAATTAATGACTTGCATTAGCTGAAAGCACTAGCCAAAACTGTTCAGAGATTTAAATGATCCTTAGTGGTTAAGTAAGGTAGATATCGAAAGTCTTGAGCAGTACAGCATTCCATATTCTTCGGTAAACTCAAGCGTCATTGAAGAGGAATACTGTAAAGGAGCTGCTTAAACACAAAGCTGTTTTACTCAACTTAAAAAGAACAGCTTCAATTTATACCTGCATACTGTTTGCAAGCAAAATAATCACAAATTAAACTATTTGTATAAACAAATGATCGTTTATAATGTACAATTTAACTATGAAGGCTCTTTCCCACCCACCCATAATGCTCAATGGAATTTTTACTATAAATAATTGCAGAGTACAGATTAACAAGGAGGTTAGTTTTACCATTTGAACTTACCATTCCATTGGAATTATTTATTCCATTCATATTAATTTTAGTTACAAATCTAACTGTTGGAGGTGCTTCTGGATATTTAGGTCCACACTCTACTTTCAGACTGTATATTCTGTTTTCATAGTTTGTCTAGAAAGAAAAAAACAAAAAGATTAATGCATCTTACTGAGAGTTGTTATTTAAAAAGTACTTTAGAGATACACAAACATAGCTAAGCTGGGTTAGGGAGAAGGAATATGTAATGGGATGATTTTAACTGTTTTTATTATTTTACAGTTGATGCCTTTGCTTACTTTTTGACACATCAATGCCTCAGTTATCTTGATCAGCTGATCAATGTGCTATATATTTTTTGAGCAAAGATTTAACTATGTTAAAATAATCATTGCGTAAAAAGGCACCTATTATTAGGTATCGCAAGCACCACATACGAAAAACAAACAAAAGACATTTAAAAAAAAAAAACTATATAGAGAAAACCTAAGCCACACATACACTTCCCTCCCCACCCCTGAACTCTGGCACAAGGGCAAACCTAAACCATCGGGCAAACCACTCCTACCAAAAGGTAAATCCTCTAATGCAGCAAAGATCAGGACAGGGGAAGAGATAGATGAAAATAAAACAAAAGGAGAAAAGCCTAGAAACAGCCAAGAACAAAGACCAAAATAAATGGAACTTGCAACAAATCCTGTAGAAGCAGTTAAGAAGCAACTATGGTAGAACAACTCCAGGAACAAATTCCATAATTTATGGCTTATGAGCAAGAAAGCTCTGCCTGAACATAGAACAAAGACAACCAATCCAACTGCCAAAGAGGACATGATCAAGTATTCAGGGCTAGATTATGAAAGGATTTATATGCTATGACATTCAGTTGTACCTCACTCTGGCAACCAACTCTCCCTTTCTCCTCTACACAGGAGCAACCATAGAAGCAGCTACTTTCTGTAAAAACTGGTTACCTACATTCCTACTACTGTTGTTCTTCAAGATGTCCTGCATATGTCCATTCCACATGTTTGCACCTTGCAGTTGTCTGAGAACTTTTCCCCTCAGCAGTACCCATCGGGGCAGCTCAAGCACTCTCTGTTACCACATGTCACTGCATGCTCGTATAAGAAGAGCCACCCCGACCCACCTCAGTTCCTGTGTACCAGGTAGACTCTGATAGAGAGGAGGAGGAGGACAGATTGAGGAATGGACATGTGCAACACATCTCTGAGAACATCAGTTACAGAAAGATAGGTAACCGTTTTTAAATTTGAGTGCTTGTACATGTCCATTCCTCAATCTGTCCTCCTCCTCCTCTCTATCAGAGTCACTGTAGGTGACTCACAAGCAGACAAACATGGAGGTGGGCTCAGAATCTACCTGAACAGTGATTATGGGACAACTCGCCTGAAATTAGCATTGGCCCTGGACTGACAGGAAATGGCATAATGAGAAGAAAGAAGTATGGACTGAAGACCAGAACATTGCTTTACAAATTACTATGATCAGCACTCGTGCCAAGAAAGCCGCTGAAGTTGCCTGTGCTCCAGTAGAATGCACCAATACTCTAACTGGGGGAGAGAGGGGGCCTATATTAGCCAACTGGTAGTATAAACAAATGCACAAGGAGATCGAAGATGAGATTCTCTGAGTGGAAACTGGTTGGCCCTTAGCCCGGTCCATAACTGCAACAAAACTGTGTGGAAGAAGATCTATAGTACACTCAAGGTAGAAAGCTAAAGCCCTTCTCACATCCAATGAAGTCTCCTCTCACCTTTATGCACATAAGATTTCAGGAAGAACACTGACAAACGGATTTCCTAGTTAACATGAAAATTAGAGACTACCTTCATGAGAAATTTTGGGTGAGGGCAGATAAATTTTATCCTTATGACAGGAGGCTCTGACACTAGGGCTCTCAACTTGTCCACCCTTCTGCTGAGGTAATGGCAACTAAAAATGCTACCTCTATGGAGAGCTGGAGCAAAGAGCAAGTTGCAAGGGGTTCAAAAGGTGGTCCCATTACCTTTGCTAGGACGAAGTTCAAATCCCATGGGGTATAGGATCTTGCACATGTGGGTACAATCTGATCAAGCCCTTTAGGCAACTGGTAGTGATGGGGTTGGAGAAAAGGAATCTACTATCCACCAAGCTCTGGAAAGCTTAGATATCTGCCAGATGTCCTCTTATAGAGCTAACTGCCAAACTTTGATGTTTTAGGTATAGAAGATAGTTAAGTACGAGGCTCAGAGGTACATGCTTTGGGGATATGCCTTTCTTCTGGGACCAAATGGAAAAGCGCTTCCATTTATGCATGTAAGTGCACCTATTTGAGGGTTTTCCACAATTCAGAAGCACTTCCAGGACATCCTTAGAACAAGATCTCTCCAAAGGCATTAACCACTAACCATCCACACAATCAGGTGGAAGTCTCACAGGTTGGGATGGAGCATATAACCGTAATCCTGAGAAAGCAAGTCTGGATCCAGCAGGACAGTGGAGGGTTGACTGACAAGGTCAGCAGGGTCAAATAACAGTGTTGACAAGAGCAAGCCAGTGCTATAAGGATGAGATGAGCATGGTCTTGTTTGACTTTGAACAAGACCCTTGGCAGCAAGGGAATCGGAGGGAAATCATACAGGAGGAGGTCCTTTCAGGGTAGCAGAAAAGTATCTGTCAATGAGCCTGGGCTGACAACTTCCCAGGAACAAAAACGATGGCATTTTCTGTTGGACTCTGTTGCAAACAGGTCCACCTGGGGAATCCTCCAGAACTGGAAGATGGATCTGATTATGTCTGGGCGTAAAAACTGCTCGTGGTGATCGGAGAAGGTCCTGCTCAGTCGACCTGCCAACATGTTCTGCTTCCCTCGAAGGTAATCAGCCCTGAGATGAATTGAATTGGTTATGCAAGAATCCCAGAGACAATCTGCCTTCTGGCATAGGGAGGAGTATAGTTTACGCAGCTCTGTTTATGTAAGACATTGTCGCAGAGCTGTCTGTTAGAATTAACAAGTTCTTCCCTGCTGTATGTAGGAGGAAAGCTTAACAGCCTAGTTGTACAGCTCTTAACTCCCAGACATTTATATGAGCCATTAGATCCTGAGGCAACCAGAGACCTTGATGCTGCAGGGACCCCATATGGGTCCCCAAACCCAGGGCTGATGGTGTCTGTGATTAAAGTGAGGTTTAAGTGGTAGCCATGGGATAAAGGCCCCCATCCTCAGACTTTCAGAGGTCCAGCCAACAATCCAAAAAATGACAAAACTGACATTGACACTCAAACCACATTGTCCAAATGATGACTTGGGGCATGTACCAACGCTTGCCATGCCTGCAGCTTGGCATGTTGAACCACATATGTACACACTGCCATGTAACCCACAAGGCTGAGGCAGCTGCATGCCGTGGTGAGAGCTTTCAGCTGCAGCACCAAGCCCCATACTGCTTCGAACCAGGATTATGGCAGCAAGGACATGGCCTTTGTGGAGTCTAAGAGCTCCAATAAACTCTTTCCTCTGTACGGGTTTTAGAATTGATTTGTCCCAATTTACTAGGAGCCACAGTGCATCGAATGTGGACAGGACTGTAGATACACTAGATAACACCTGAGCCTCGTACTGACCTCTGATCAACCAGTTGTCCACGTAAGGGAACATATGGACTCCTGATTTTCATATATTTGCTGCCGCCATTGCCATACATTTTATGAACATCCAAGGAAAGACAGAGATCAAATGAGAGCACTGAACTGATATTAGGCCCTATTTACCAAAAATCTGAGAAACATCCAATGGTTGTGCCATACTGCAACATGGAAGTAAGTGTCCTTGAAGTCAAGGGCAGCATAGCAGTCCCCCTGTTCCAGGGAGGGAATAAACAAGACTAGGGTAACCATGCAGAATTTTATTTTGTTCAACTCTCTTAGATCTACAATAGGCCTGAGACCTCCCTTTGCTTTGGGGAATCAGAAAGTAGTGGGAATAGACGCCTTTCTCCCTAAGGCACAATGGGACTTCCTCTATGGCCTTTACCTGAAGTAGTGATGGGACCTCCTGCTGAAGAACAATTCTGTGACAGTTGTCCCTGAAGAGAGATGGGGAAGGGAGAGGGGAAAGAGTGGTAGAAATGAACTGGAGGGCATATCCTAGTTCCACTGTGCTTAAAACCCACCAATCCAACGTTAAGTGCTTGGGCCCACATAGGAAGTGGAATAAGCAATTTGTATACACAAGGTGGGAAACAGATGGAACTACAGTAACTGATACATTGCCCTTGAGTAACACATCAAAATGTCTGTTTGGACGAGGCGGCTAGATGGGATGAGCCCACGGATGCTGAAGAGGAGGGCAGCAGATGTCGTCCCCTATAACTCCTTCCCTTTCTCCTCAGTGGATTTTGAAACCAGGGAGGAAAGTCCTGATGTCTGTATGGATGTTGAGGATGGAACTGCTTCCTCTTTGTTGCTGGAGTGCAGATTCCAAGAGATTGTAATGTCGCCCTGGGAACTTTTAGGCTATGGAGCCTATTGTCCATCTTATCCAAAAACACAGAGGGACCTTCAAAAGGGAAGTCCTAGATGGTCTGCTGGACTTCTTGGGGAAGCCCAGATGACTGTAACTGTCCTGTAGAGCAGTTATGGCAACCACCATTACTGCAAACTCCTAACTACAGTCCTCTGGTAGTTTGTCTTTAAATTTTACAAAGTTCTCCCAGAAGGTAAAGTCATAGTGGCTCAGGAGTGCCTATTACTTCGTAATCCTAAACAGCAAACTCCCTGCAGAATAAAGTTTGCATCCAAACAAGTCTAGCCTCTTTGCCTTTCAGTAATGATGCTTGGTGTCCTTTATCTTTCCCATTTGTTAACAGCCGCCGCCATCAAAGAAGCTGGAGGAGGGTACAAATACTCTAGATCCCTTAGAGGGGATGTAGTACCTCCTTTCAGCTCACTTTGCTATGGGAGATAAGGAAGATGGTGTCTGCCACAGCCCCTTGACCCAGCTCCATAATTGCTTTGTTAATCAGCAGAGCCACCCTGGCAGAGGCTACCGATACCTGATTGTCCACCAACTCATGGACACACCTCCTCTGCCTGAATGTCAAGAACAGAGACCACCCTTCTCAATAGATCCTGAT